TCTGGGCTTTTCTTGTTGCTCTTTTTCAAATTCTTTGAGATGTAGAGTTAGATGATTTACTACCATTTTTTCTTGTTTTTTTGAGCTAGGCCTGTAGAGCTATAAACTCCCCTTTCAGGACTGCTTTCATTGTGTCCCATAGGTTTTGGATTGTTGTGTTTTCATTGTCATTAGTTTCCAGGATGTTTTTTTTCTTCTTTCAATATTTAATAACTTGCTATTCAGCTTCCAAGTATTTGAGTGTTTTGTGTTGTTTTTATTGTAGTTTATTTCTAATATTATGCCATTGTGGTCTGAGAAGATGCTTGGTATGATTTCAATCTTCTTGAATTTGGGGATACTTTGCTTGTGACCCAATATGTGGTCTATTTTTGAAAATGTCCCATGTGCACGTGAGAACGTATATTCTGTGGTTTTGGGGTGAAATGCTCTGAAGATGTCAAACAAGTCCATCTGATCTAATGAGTCATTTAGGATTGCTGTTTCTTTGCTGATTTTTTGTCAGGATATATCCAGTGATGTCAGTGGTGTATTAAAGTCCCCTACTATGATTGTATTGTTGTCGATCTCTTCCTTGATATCTTCCAGGAGTTTTTTATGTATTTGGGTGCTCCTAAACTTTGGCAATTTTACAATATCATTAGAATAGGCTTGAGCAGAGAGCCACCATCTTAAACTTTTGCAAAAAATGTGTGTTTTAATGATGATATCATGTGTCTGCAGGTACTATTTTGCCCCTGATGGAAGCATAGTAAAATCACAAAACTTATTGAAATATACTTCTTCAATATTCAACCATTTATCCATTTATCTACCCATCCATCTATCCATCCAACACTATGGGCCAGGTATCCTGTTGGACACTGGTGATACAACAGTGAACACGACCAACATGGCCCTTACCTCAAAGTAATTATGGCCTAGTAAAAATTCCTTAAATAGCAGCAAAAACAATCATGAGTTGACAGATTCATGACAATTTCTTGAAAGAGAGAAAAAATAAGTGAAATTAACTTTTTAGCCTTACCTGGATTTTGCTAAAACATTTATTTGAAAAAAAGTGTTTCCTGAGAAATTGTATTTTGAGGGATACTCTAAATGTGCATATAGAAGAAAGGAAGATAGAAAGTGAAACATGAAAAGAGAAAATTTTTGAAAAATGTTACTTTGGTTTTCCCAAAAAGTGTTTAGAAATAATGATTATTTTCCATAGCATTTTATGCTTTTTGAAGCAATTGTACCAGCTATGTGAGTTGGAGCAAATATTATTTTCCCCATTATATAGATGAGTCAGCTGAGGCATAGATATTTAAGTGCCCAATATCCCACAGCTATATAGAATTCAGAGTTCTACCCACTTCTTTTTCTATTACATCATGCTGAAAAATCCCAGTCTCCAGTATAAGGTCCTATAAAACCCAAAAGATTTAACAAAATGTAAGATATTCAGGAAGCCAAAGTCACTAGCACAAAAGAAGGAAAACAAAGTACCACAAGGAGGATGTTTCTCTGCTGTAGGCTATTAAGTAGGTCACCCACTAAAAGGCTATTTTGGTCTAAAATTTTAGAGGGCATGTAGTACATACACCAACATCACTGACCTGATTCTTCACTTTCAAGATCTAAGAAAATCAAAGGCAGGTTTTTTTTTTTTTAGGGAGGGGTGGGTCATTTGGATAGCTCAAGAGAATGTTAGTTGGGAAATTTGATTTAGCCAGGCTAGTGCTCTAGATTTTCTGTGAGGTGTGATTCACTAGAGGTGATGCTGTTTTAAGAAGGGGACAGCTTTGTATCTCTATAATGCAGAGTCAGCGGTTTCTCTTTCTTTCTTCCTCCCTTTCTTTCTTTCTTTCTTTCTTTCTTTCTTTCTTTCTTTCTTTCTTTCTTCTTTCTTGCTTTCTTTCATTTCTTTGTCTTCCTCCCCTCCTCTCCCCACTCCTCTCCTCTCCTTTCTCTTCTCCCCTCCCCTTCCTCCCTCCCCTCCCTTCCCTTTTCTCTTCTTTTTTTCCATTCTCTTCTTATGGAAGCACATCTGACAAATTGTTAATATTTAATTTGCTATAAAACAGCTCTCCCAGACAATGGCTGCTCACTATAATTCCAATCTCTGAAGCTGTTTTTGCCCCCAGGTACACTGTGATCAAATTAGAATGGAAATTTTTCCCTTACTCTTTATTTATGGAAGCATAGGCACTTTGTTATTAGCTGGCAATGAAACTACTAAGGAAAATAATGTACTTTCACCTCATTTCAATTTGACTCTTTACTTCATTGTATCCATCTGGCTTAAGGTAAACATTTCTTCTAATATTTTAATCTTAAATTTAAATATCCAAGCTTAATAATGATTTTTCCCTAGTCTAAATATTCTAAATCTTTTCCACTTTGTTCACATTTTAAAAACCATGAACTTTTTTTATCATATGCCATCTTAAAAATAGTCTTAAATTACATACACATTTGCCTCTTTTCTCTCTCTCTCTCTTTCTCTCTCTCTCTCTCTCTCCCTTGCCCCCCAAAGAGGGATGGTTTGCAAAAATATACACAAATTTGGAAACCTAGTGAATACTGCTATTAGGCTCCTGAAACAAAACCCCTGCCCTTTTGCCCTGCTTGATTCCTTGTCTGTTCCCTGCTGGAAGGATGGTATAGGGATAGTATAGGAAAGGAAGAGGATTACTTTGAAAGATTCAGCTATCTATGAAACAGAGGTGTGGAAGGATGTGTTTATTTGATAGGTAGCATTAAATTGTAGAGACCTCCAGATTAATCATGGTAATGCAATTTTCAACAGCTTAGATTTTCTTTCTTTTCCTGCAGCCACTGGGGATGAAAAAAGGATTAGAAAGACTATCAAAAACCGTTGGCACGTTTAGTCTGGATAGGTACTTAATTTATTAGCAGAAATGCGAACTGCCTCAGGTTGATGATTTAACATGTTGGCTGGGGGTGGAATAAATCTCACACTTACCTGTTCCAAAATTGTGTTAATCCTTTCGACTTCACAGTCAATCAGGTATCGCTTTTCCTGTCTCCTGTCCATTTCTTCAATGATGCGCCTGAATTCTTGGACGTCCTTTATGTTTCCCACAGACCTTGCTGTCACTTGCCAGTTGTTTTGCACTGCTGCTTCCATAATTGCTTGGAGGATGGAAAATCCTGAATGAAGGAAAGACAGCCATGATGATTTTTTTCCTTTAAAAGTCTTTCTGTAGGTATTAAAAGTTCTATTGAATTTTTATTCACAGCCCATTGAGTCTCTGTGAACCTTATCTGTTGTGGACGGTAGGCTTAGCTATAACCTCAGCCTTAACCTTCCAGTTGGCAACTCTATCTTGTTTTAAAGGGAGGAAGACTCTACAACTTGTGGCCACCAGGCTAGGTGTTCATCAAGCTGTACTTAATCAATAACAGCTGAATTATTTTTATTGACATGCATTATAAAAATATCTATGGAGCCTTAGCCAGTTTTGCTCAGTGGATAGATCATTGGCCTGCAGACTGTAGAGTCCTGGGTTCAATTCCGGTCAAGGGCACATACCTCGGTTGCAGTTGCAGGCTTAATCCTGGCCCTGATCAGGGTGTGTGAAGCAACCAAATGATGTGTCTCTCTCATATTGATGTTTCTCTCTCTCTCTGTCTTTCCCCCCTCTCTAAAAATCAATGGAAAAATATACTTTGGTGAGGATGAACAACAACAAAAAAATATATAGAATAAATGCCAAGATCTTCCTTATATCTGACTACAATCTTCCCTATTGTAGTTGAAGCTCATTTCTTTCATCTTCCATAAACATTCTTCAGAATAAAGATAGCTTTAGTAGAGATAGAACCTTATTATAATATAGCTAATCCTTATATAGGCTCAGTTTTCTTTCTCATGGACTTCTACCAAGCCAACAAAGTAAATTATATCTTTCAAGTAAAATAACCCTAAGAAAACCTGACAAAAATGGTCTATTACAAAGATATACTGATTCTTTGATCACAACATGATGAAAAAGTTCAATCATACTAAATCTTCCTGAGTTCTTCCCATTTCTAAATTAAATTTACCAGGGATTCTTATTTTTTCTTTTTTTAAGTTAATTTATATCAGACAACCATTAATTACTAATACCCTGGAGCTATGCCAAATGGAAAAGAGAAAAAAATCTGATGCTTAAGTTTTTGGTAACCTTTTTGGAGTCAGGGTTTGAGAAGCTGGGAAGAACAGTATATCTTAAAGTATGAATCACAGAATATTACAGGGGTTTCTATGTATTGGTCTTTTAGACTATTCGTGTCTCTATTTTATATCATTCCTCTATTTTTGCTTCTGGTATTAGTCCATAATTTAAGTGTAATTTAATCAACTGCTCACATCATTTTATTGGGCTATGGTCAAAAGCAACTTCCTTCCTCCCATAAATTTAAATAGTTTTCCATTTATATTTAGGTAATGACTAATGGGAGTGGGTGATGAGGATGATTTGCAAAGCCAACAGTTTGGCCAAAGAAGTAGAAAATGAAGGAAGCTTGTGCTGCCCTTTAAACATATTCCAGGTTCAGCGCTGTCTTGAGCTCACCCTGTAGTGTAAGCAGACTATGGTTGGGAATCCTCTCCACTGCACCATAGAAAATGGTATTGACATTTGGAGATCACGCTTCAGGGAGATGTCAGCAGTGACTCAGTCGTCATTATGATTCCTTTGTGTGCTGGGTGTATGCAGGAAGAAGATCACAAAAGAGACCCAAGCACTTGGTAATTTCCAAATAGCAATTTCAGCACAGGAGCTCAAAATTACAGATCAGAGTAAATTACCATTGCTTTAAATGTTAATTCTTACTCTTTTTAAGCCAACCACACATATTTATTTCTCAGATTTACATTTTTGTGTGGGTTTTCAATGTGCTCTTTGCTTCAGTGGGAGTTGAGGGCACATGGTAGGCCAAAGCATGGGATTAAGAAATAAGCATAGGAAGAAAGAGATTAAAGTATTTGAAAATCTTTCTTAAGCAGTATACAATAAGGCCTTATTATTTTGAATACCACTAATTAACAACTTATGAAAACTCACCAAGGACTAGTTTGAATTTTACTTCTGTACTATTTATGAAGAAAGTATTGACTGAATAATAATGGCAATGAAATTACACACAGTATCTTAGATATACTTAAATTAAACATTTAAAAAGACCATTTAGCAAAATAAAAGTTTTTTGTCTGTTGATTCAAAAACCTATGTTCTTGTAATCTCTGCTATTTAGTCCAGTTCCACCATTTTGGGGCCAAAGGTACAAGTTTAATCCCTTTTCCATGTGACAGTACTTCACATTTTAAAAAACGGTTAACATCTCTCTTTATCTTCTTTTTCTTCAGGCTAAACATGTCCTGATTCTTCAACAATTACTTTTGTGGCATGATGATAAGTTCCCTCACTGTTCTGTCTTTTATGAGTATTTGTCAACATTTTATTGATCCTGATAATTCAGATGTGATCTGACCAGTGTGGATGACAATGAGATATTGCTTGATTTGTTATACACTGTTATTTTAGTAGCCTAGGATTGTTAATGTTTTTCAATAGCCATATTATATCGTTAATTAATATCAAGCTTGGATTCAACTAAAGCATGCGAGCTCTCACTGTAAAAACCTGTGCTCTGTAACAACTCACCATCCATATATCAAGATTCTTCCATATATTCTTCCATTTCAATCTACTTTTATCTTCTTTTCTAATTCCTTACCCTATCCCAATCCTCACTTCTTCCTTGCTTATACATTTGCTCAAATCCAGAAGATGGTCTTTCCCACTTATTCAGTATTCTCCTTGTTACTCAAGGCAATTGCACCTGTATGTCCCCTTTTCTGGCACTTCCTGCTACACATAGACCTTTGTGGAAGATTGTCTACTCATATGAAGCTTCCCATTTTGATTTCTCATTTATTTCCCCAGAAATGAGATTTAATTTCAAAATAAAAGTATTATAAGCAATGAAGAAATGGATTTAAAGCACTGTATGACAGAAATTTAAAAATTAAAAATAAAACTGGAGAAATAAATTATACTATACACACATGAAGTACTATACTGCTGTTCAAAAGATAGCTCAATCTCTATAAAAGAAAAGAAAGATTTCTGTAATATATTATTACATAGAAAAAAGCCACAAAATAGTATGTTTAGCTTAATTTCATTTTTTGTAAAAAACACATTTTTATATATATATAGAAAAAATTAGAAAGCATTGGCAGTGGTTTTCTCTAAGATGTAGGATTACCAAGAACTTCGACTTGCACTGTCATTTGTTTATGTAATGTTTGACTATTTTACAAGAAGGAAGTATCATTTTCTGTAAGAATAAAAACAATAAAGGTTAAAAAAATACAACTCAAACCATTCTTTCAGAGCATAAGCTCCTAGAAAACATGGATGGTAGAGGAGTGCAGCTCTATATGTTGCCTACTGCCACAAATTAGAGACCTCTTACTAAACACTGATTTTATAGATCTTTTTATACTTGTTCCTTGAACTATGTGAATGTATTACCTATTCAAAAGTACACTGCTTTATTAATGAGCTTGGGTATGGGGCCTCCTGGACTATGAGACTTGCTCACATTTCTGAGCAAGTCACAACTGTGGCTTAATACTGCAGTGTCTTTTAACATGCAGTTTCTATGTGTCCTCTTGAGTATGTGGCTGTGTACTTGAGAACCCTAGGGGCAGTGATCACCTCAATTCAATACATGTCAGTGAACAATCCAACAAAAACTTGTATTTGTGCCTAATTTATTATACTTTGACTATTCCCTGTTGCAGCTGACCAAAGAGAATACTCCTTTATTTTTGGCTTTGTTAAAGTAAGGTTGCTCTTTTAGTAGCTTCAGAATTGTCCTTCACTCTGAGTGAACTTTAACATGTCCAACTATGCAGTACTGAAGGTTACTTTTATTTAAGCAGCAACTTTTCTCATCCTGATTTCAGACCACTGTTGTTACCTACCTTCTTTTTCATCCTTGTCTTAAAGAATGGGAGTTACTACATGATTAACTGGGTGAATGGTATATTGTAATCTGCATTCAACCAAGATAATATAAGAGCCTGACAATAGAAGAGTGGCAAGGTGATTATGGGTGAAGAACTGGGCTGCAACTATGACCAATCCAATCCTACTGGATGGTTGTCAAGCAATTCTTGCTAAACAAGGGTGCCATCTGGGTAAAGGCTAGTGTAAGGATACTTATGCTGTGTCACCCAAGTCCCCCTTTAGCACGAAAAGACTTATTTTTCCAGCTTCTGGGATAATTGTTGGCTGAAGAGTGCTGCCTAGCTCAAGGTTATACTTGCTTCCAAGGTCAGCCAGTATCTAATAATTGGTTATATGGAGAATAAAGGCACAGCCCTTTTACCCCAAATGGGGTGACTCTAACTCAACTTCAAAGCTCTTTTAAGGGTAGGCTGAGGTCTTGTTATAACTGCACCACAGCATATCTTCTTCTTCTGCCCAAACCCGCTTTCTTATTTTCCTCCAACAAGTGTCAATAATGAGAGTACTACTCCTCAGTAAACTTTTGCATTCAAATCTCCATCTCAGAATCTGCTTCCAGGGGATTTAATCTGTGGCTGTTAGGTTGACCTCATGACAAGGATGGAAACATGTAAGGATGACTTTTACAGAAAGATCTCACATCTATAATTGTCAAAGCCATTTCACAGTGGGAAAGAAGGCTAGGATTTTGCTCCATGTACAAAGTAAACACTGTAACATTCTGAGAAAATTTAGTATTTGATCTGAAGACACAGATTATTGACATATGGAAGTTGGTAATGAAGACACCTAAGGAAATACAGTTGAGGATAATTTTCTTCTTTCTACTTTGCATCTTCCAGCAGGGTTAGCATTACCTATTGTTGCTCGTGAACCTCTATCAGATCTCTCAGAGCCACACCATCTGTAATTTTGACATGGTTTCTAGCAGTTCCCCAAATGATGAGGGTCTCTCATATTAACAAATGGGTTTCTTGTGAGTGTTGACATTTATAGCAGTCTGTGCCTGCCTGGGATTTTCAGAAGACTTTCCACAAAGCCTAAAAAGAGATTGCTGACCCTCTGAAAATTCTCTAGAGAGGCAAGTTGATGAACAGGAATATTCAGAGGGCAGGTCAATAT